TCTACTGTGGCTCAGCCTTGACCGGCATGGCATGTGCTCAGTGAGGACAGGGACTGTCCTCCGGGCCTCATCTTAGTACCCTCAGAACTGACACACTGTAGGTGGCTGTGGGTTGAATTATGTCTCCCCAAATTCATACACTGCATCCCTAACCCCTAAGACCTCAGAACATGACCTTATTGGAAAATAGGTTCATTATAGATCAGTGAAAATGAGGTCATACCGGAGTCAATGGGCCCCAAATCCAACATGACTGGTGTCCTCATTTGGACTCAGACACGCACACAGGGAGAACGCCACGTGGAGATGAAGGCAGAAATTGGAGTCAGGCTACAGGAAGGCAAAGAACGCCAGCAGTCACAGAAGCAAGGAGAGGGGCCTGGAACAGACTCCCCCCTCCCAGCGCTCAGAAGGAACCAACCCTGCCAACACATTGATCTCGGATTTCTAGCCTCTAGGACTGTGAGATGATAAATTTCTGTTGTTTAAGCCACACTAGCAAACTAATACACGTCTTTAGTTAATGTCTGTTGTATGTTAGTATCTGTGCACAAGCAGACTCAGTAAGCCCCACGTGAGCTGGCCAGACTGGAGTGCTGGAGGGCTCCCCGTGTGGGCTGAGCGCACACGATCGGATCAGCTGATCTACCACAAATGTCAAACTTTTGGCAGCTGAAAGCCCTAAGATGATTTTTGTTTTTTAATTGAAGCAAAATTCATATAACAAAAGGTGGAGGGTGGATTCAAAGGTCCTGAAAAGGAGGATATGAGGGGGAAGGGGGAGCTTTACACACATCATCTCTTTACATTGAAAACATTTACAGATTGTATCTTCATGGGGCCAAACGGTTCAAAAATAACTTGATAAATTTTAATTTTTTTCTTCAGTCATGAAAGGAGGTGAGTGGGATGTTTTAAGATTTTTTTAATTTACCAAAAAAATAATAGCAAAGCTTTTTGAAAAAGCATATTTCAGGTTTAGGCTTCTGCCTTTCTGTGGGTCCGGGGGCCCGACACCTCCACCATCAACAATCATCCTCCTTGCGTTATCTCTGCTCTCTGGGTGGCACTCTGATTCCTCCGTCTGGGACCCATCTCTTCCTGAGGTTCCCTTTATTCATTCACTGTTTATCTTCACCTGGAGATGCTGCCCTGCAGTCCAGTCTGGTGGCTCCTGGGGCCTCCTCCGTCAGGGCACACATATCACTGCCAGATGCCCTGTGAAAGCCTTTTGGTGGTGCTGCCCCTATCCCAGCCCAGCCCAGTCCCTATGGCCCAGGAGGGGGAGTTTACACTGAGAAGCCATGCAAGAGGCAAGGCCTCTCCTGGCAGGGGGAACAGCGTGGGCAAGGGCTTGGCGTCCAAGGATCAGGGACACCCGACCCCCTTCACTGCAGGAGTAACCTCGGCATTCGAGCTCTCCACCTCTTTGACTTGTGAACAGACACACCCCACTGCTCCTTTCCTTCCTGGCAGAGGCCTGCAGGCACATGCACGCCTGCTTTCAGGGGCTGCCCTGAGATTTTTGTTCAAGCCCCATGCACAGCTCCCTGAGGGGCCCCAGGTGAAGTTTCGGGCTGCCACGCACTCCGCTTGTCAAGCCAGGCATCATCATCACGCCGCTTTCCTGTTTTCCTGGGATGTGACAATTTCATGTGGGCAAAGGAGAAAGCTCACGTGCACTGGTAGGTAAAAACTGGCTTTAGTTTTAGAGCCCCTGGACCCCAGCCGGCCCTGGTGGTCCTGGAGCTCCAGGCCCTGTACAGACTTTCTGAAAACTCGCTCTGCCCTGTCCCTCTGCATTCCCCAGCAGCTAGCTGTTTGGTGTGGGTCGAGGGGTTGGGTGGTTTACACCGTGGACCCACCAGGCCTCTCCATGAGGCTTCAGTTGACAGAAGAGGGCATGCGTGCCTGGGCCACCAAAGCGGCTCTCCTGCTAACCGGCCAGCCCTATGCCCACCCCCACCTTCTGCCCTGGGTCCCTGCAACCAGAGAGGGCCCCTCAGCGGCCTGCCCCGAGCCCTGGTCGCTCTCTTCGACACCCAGCCAAGGGCTGTCTGAGTTGGTTTCCTCCAGGACCCAGGCCTTCACACCCCAAGGCCCAGATGCTGCCCACTTGGACTCTTCAGGCCCCCCATCAAGTCCTCAACTTTGAGAAAACCCATCGGACAGAGCAAGGTCCTTGGAATGAAGGGGAAGGTGGGCTTTGAGATTCCATAGTCTAGAAGAAGCCCAAAGACAACCAGAAAGCTTAACAGAGATGGAGGCAGTCACACGGGACCCCACGCCGAGGGCCCTGCCTGAGCTCGAGCTAAGCTTCTTGAAATTCTTGATACTTGTTGAACCAGAAGCCCTGCAAATTCTGCCCCAGTTCTGGTGGGAGTTTAGGAGGAGCCCTGGGGCTCTCAGAGGACACCGTTCCCGGATGTCCGAATGGGGAGGAGCTGGCTGTGTGCTCACGATGCAGGGTCTCAAGAGGAATCCTCCTCTGCCAGCTCTGGGGTGACCGGAAGATCCCTGGGAGAGCTTGGGTGGGTCCAGGCCCCTGGCACGTGCCCAGCCCCTTCCCACCCCTGTGTGGTTACACAGGCCGAGTGTCCCGCCTGCAGAAGGTGTCAGGCCTCCTCCGCACCCCAACTTCCCATCCTCGGCTGAACCCCAAAGGGGACAGTTCAGAGGCACGAAACTAAGTTGCAGTCTAAATCCAGGATGCTCTATATCAAACTGGTGAAAATAAGTCACCAGCACTGAATGGTGTCTGTTTTCCAATGGCCTAAGCTTCCGTGTATCACCTGGAAATGGGTACGTGAGCAATAGTAAACCTTCCTCACTGTTCAGGAAAAGTGCTCTATGAAGTGGACAGCGTGCTAATAGCGACTAGCTCTCATTTCCCACCACGACCTCCTAGCTCCTTGGAACTCCCTCCTGTTCTGCTAACGCCTTCTCAGACGCCTCTGAGGGACCCCTACACCCAGCACTCGGCACACCCGGGAATGGGATGGGGGTGTTCGGTCTGTTCTTTTGGATCCTGGGTGGGATGAAACGTGCCACCAGCCCACGAGAGGTGGGCAAAGCAAGGTGCTAACTTGGGAGAAATGCTCCCTGGCCAGCTTTCATTTTGCTGCAGGACTTCTGGCGGCTTCCCAAAGCTTGGGGCTGCCACTTGTCAGGGCTCCTAGCCCCACGCTACCCACTGTCCTGCTCTGAGCAGGCTCCAGGCCAGGAGCAGAGGATAAGGCACCGATTCACTGTGCCCCTACCCACCACCCCTCACTCCACAGTGAAAAACACTCTCACGTCACAACTCGGTCCTTCCTATCACTGAACAGAAGCCACGCTTCTCCAGGACAACACTGGTGTCTGATTTTCTCTCTTCTCCCCCAGAAATCCTTTCCAATTGTGCTAGGAAAGTATTGAGGGCAAACAAACTCACCCAAAACCCAAAGACAAAAGGATGCAGCCATTTGGCCCCCAGAGCCTTAACCTTGAATGGAACTGGGAAAACAGCCCCGCTGAGACAGTGTGGTGCCAAGAGCTCCCCAACCTGGCACAGGGGGCTCAGCCTCTTGGCTCCCAATTCCAGGGTAGGGGAGGATCGGAAGCCGTCCTGGGCGCCAGAGGTGGAGATGGGGGGCGGCATGGCTTTGTTGAAGCACACCCCCACTCATGGTGCTCTCTTAAACCTCCTGCTTCTCAGAGTGGGCCCTTGGAGAGCTGGTATCACCTGGGAATTGGTCAGAAATGCAGACCCTCAAGTTCAGCCCAAAATTGCTGTATCTGCTTTTGAAGAAGGCCCCCTGGGGGAGGGGGAGGCACACTCTGGGTCTGAGAAGCCCTGCTCTGCGATGCGTGGGGAAAGGCTGACCCCCAGACCCCTTCTCCCCAGTGCACAGGTGTAGACAGTGCCTGGGGAGCTGCCTGGGGGCCCCAGAGCCCCTGCTGGAAGGCTGAGCACCCAAGGGACAGCCCTGGAGCCACCTCCTGCTGGAGCTCGGCCCTCCTCCCCCAGGTGGTACTTGCCTGCCCCTCTAGCAGGGACATGGGCTAGTTGTTCTGAGGGAGAACACAGACCACAAGAAACACACAAGACAGAAAACCTGGTGACTTTAGGAGAGGCTACAGGAGAAGCATGTCCATGGGTTTAATTTGAGTCCAGGGGTGCAGGGACCTGGGGGCTGCTCTCTCTGCTGAGCCAAGCCCAGCCTCACTCCCTGGCTGCTTGCTAGATTCACAGCAGCCATGGTTAAGTGGGACACCTACTTGATCTGTCTTCCTCTTCACAAGGATCCCATGGGGTGGGTGTTGTGGACCCCATTTCACAAATGGGGACACTGAGGCTCAGGCAGTCAGGGGCCTGCCCACGTTGCACACTGAGGAGGAGGGGCGGGAGAGCCAGGATTCAAACCTTAGACTCTGATCCTCCCGCCTCTCGGTGAGCTGGAACTCACTTCCCCTCACCCAAGGAGATGAGTGTCAGAAGACATTGGGGATGGCCACAGGCTCAGGCGTGGGGATGGAAAGGCAACACTTAGGGACAAGACAGGAAGCCCATGAGCCTTTGAGCCTGGAGAAGAGGGGCCTCTGGGTCTCCCACGGGAAGAGAGGGCAGCGTGTGGGGCTGTGGGGAGCCGATCACAGCACGTGGCAATGCGTGGGTCAAGGCCCCTGCACGGAGCTCACTTAGGAAGAAGGAGGAGGTCCCCTGAGGCTAAATCAGCCTGGATGGAGCTTTACTCGGCGATGGCAGCTTACGAGTTACACACCATCACCCCTACAGCACCACACTGCAACGATCCCACTTCATTTATTACCAAAATATCACAGAATTCCAGTCATCGTTAACATACAAGTGTTAAACACAAACCTGTCACCTGTGAAAAGAACTAAGTATTCGGACAATCGAGTCGTTTGGAATCGTCAACACCCCAAACCGTTATCACTCCAGACTCCAAAAATACACTTTGAGAGCTTTGGAAACTGAATTAAAATGTCTACACAGCTATGAACAATTGTTTAATAAAACTTTTTCATGTTTCCATTACATGTAAATATATCAATTTGGCATCTCTATAAAAACTCTGAAAATGGTGCAAAAGTTTCATTCTCTTTGAGAAAGCCATTGACAAAAAATATTCACACTTCACTAAAATTTTGAAAAATGGTCTTCTTTCAAAGCTTCTTTATTAATCTGAAATCTTCTGGATTATCAAAATCTAGGTTTGCTTTTTCCTCCTAAAACACTAAAGAACATTTATTCACAAGGATAAAAAGGCGAATTGGGGAAATGGAAAACTGAGGACTTTTTCCCTGAAAATAAAAAAAAAAAACCAAAAAACAAAAAAAATTTTTTGAAAGCTAATTACATAAGCATCCTCCAAAGAACACAATGGGACCCACTTCACCGGCGGCTTTGCACAGCAGTGTCATACTTTATTGAAAACAAACCCATGTAAAAACAAAGTTAAAATGAAAAATGGTACCTGAAAAATAAATTATTTTATATAAAACAAATCAATAACTTAAAACACACTAATATACAAAACGTCTGGCCATCTACTGTACAACATGGGAACCAGTTGGTAAAGTGCCCCCCCACCCCCGAGCAAGTCACTGTAAACAAGCGTTACATGGTAAAGAGGTGGCCCCAACCACGGACAAGCCTTCTCTCCTGGTGGAAGTGAAATACAGTCTCTCGAGTCGCCGCTCAAGCCATCAGTCAGCCTACCTGAGCTCCTCGCGGTGACTGACAAGTAGTGATTTATTTATTTGTTGTAATGACCAAGCAGAAAACTGAACTTTGTCACCAAAGGGTTGTGGAAAAATACAATCATTAGAAGTCACAGGCAAACCCCAAGGTGTGGACACACAAACCCTGCCAGAGGTCGGGGATTCAGGCCCCACCGCTACCGTGAGCAGGTGCCAGTCACCGGCGCCCATTCACAGAAAGCACTGGTGGCTTCAGCTGGGGCCAGGCCTGGGGCGCTGAGGGACAGCAGGAGGGGCTTCCTGAGGAGCTGCCTCAGGTCCCAGGAGGTGCCAGAGGTCCTGGGAAGATAGGAAGGGTTTCAGGTGGAGGGCTGCGGCGCGGGGGTCGGGGAAAGAGGCCCCCGGCTGCTTATTCTTATTCTCTGCTATCCAACCCATGAAGGCTGCAAAAAGCACAGAGGTCAAGCCAGGCGGAATCGGATGTGAAACAGAACAGCTGGGAGGTGTTAATTCTGACGTTCAAGGCTGGAAGCCGACGGGGGCCGGTCCATGGCCCTAGTCTGGAGGCAACCCAGGGTAAGTTATTGCCAGTAACTGTCTTTGGAGTCACCTGTCTGTCTGACCCAGCGGGGCACCCCCTTCCCTAGAGCAGCACGGTTCAGACCCTGGCCCCTGGGTTGCCAGCGCTGACACCAAGAGCGGATTCTCAAAGGTTAAGGCAGCTGCCCTTGGCAGGGGAAAGACTCACCTTCTGGGAATAAAGAAGGTGGAACTCACCCAGCACCACCTGCCCACAGGCTGAGAAAGCCCAGCGTTCAGCTTTTTTGGCAAGCAGGTGGCACTGGGGGGAATCCCTGCCACAGGACGTGTGGCTGGAGGCACAGCCACTGCAGAAAACCACTGCTTGGCATGTTACATCGAAAGGCTAAAGAAAGGCAGAGCCAAGGGGTGAAAAATCGGTAACTCAGTCAGAACCAGGTTCACAGATTTGGAGCCGCTTGCTGAAGGCCTATCAGGGGAAGTCACACAGGCCAAGAGAGAACGCCGTCAGAGCCTCTTTGGTATTTATGTACCAAACCAAACTTTAGATAAATTAACATCATCTACTCTTAATTCTTTCTCATCAAAATTCCCAAGTAAAAGGAGAGCATTCATTTTACGAAGCACAAATATGATTGATCTATGTTAAAAAAAATTGTTTCAAACAGTTTCTTCTAGATTGTGGTTTCAGAAACTGGGATCTTCTTTTTGCAAACAAGCCTAGAGAAGATGTGATGAACTTTTTGGACACAGGCCAGCATCTGGCACTTCCCTGGACAATTATTTTTCAGGAGTAACATGTCAAAAGTAAAATACTTCCACACACTTGAAAATTAAAAGTCCCAAAGAAACACTGGGGTTTTTAGCTAGAAGGCTGCGCAGAGTGGGCACCACGTAAAACGAGCAGCTTACTGAACTGAGAAACTCCAGGCAACTTTCAAAGTTCCATCATACATACTTCCTGGTTCCTTCCCATCTGTGCCAGCATCAGGGTAGTAGTATGGTTCAAATAAGAGAAGGGAGGACAGAAGCTGCGGCAGGTGCTGGCTGTGGGCCCGTCATTTCAGTCTATGCTTCCAACAGAATTCTCGACAGACGTACAACACTAGCAGGGCTGGCAGGAACGTGTGTCAGTGAGGACACTTATGGGTCACTTTTAGACCTGGGAATGTCATCTTCATTGAGATGTTGGCCCGAGGCTAGCAAAACCTAAAAGGCATATTTTTCCAGGAACGCATCCCAGTCCCGGGGTGAAGAGCACTCTAGGGCAGAGCAGGGACCTTCTTTGTGTCAAATCCAGGCAAACGAGCCTTGGTTCCAGGAGGAGGCACATAAGCTGGCTTTGACTTAGCATCTGGAAAATTCTGCTGGAGGGAGGGGACCTCCCCTGGCACTCAGCCAACTTATGAGACCAGGCCTCAAGGTATGAACTTGGTTGGCCCTTTGTGAGAGAAAAATATGGCAACATCTTACATTTGGGAGGGTAATGCAAGCAGCTGGCAGCCTCTCAATGAAGTAGGAGGGAAACGGGGTGGGGACAGGCCCAGGGGCCTCTTGGGACACTGTGCCGCTCCGGTGAAGGCCACTTAAATAAATAAATAGATAGATAAATAGATAAATAATGCCACAATTCCATGACATCGGTAACTACAACTTGCCTATCGTTCCATGTTTCAGTCTCACGTCGAGGTTAAAAGCTGCTGGTACTAAGCTATCCTGTTTTGATTCCCTCACACACTTATTATTTCTAAAAATCAGAGCGTGCTCCTGAGGAGCGGCCTGGAGACCTGGCCCTGCCCGCTCACTTCTCAGGCCTCCCTCATACTCTCCCTGCTGGCTCCCTGCTGTCAACAACACCATCTGTGACTGCACAGGCCCACGTCACAGCTCTGTCGTGAGGCAAGTACATCTGTTTCTTAAGATCTTATAAATCCTCCCTGAAGGCTGGGCAGTCTGTACCTTACCTAGCCAAAAAGAAAGAAAAGGTAAAATAAAAAACAAAACAAAATTCGAGCAAAACAAAATCAAATTTAATGGTCTTAAATGCAAAAGTAAAAACAAACAAAAAACACAAAAAAAGCAAAAGAAAATTAACAGAACAACCCAAATTTCAAGGCAGTTATGAAGAGAACTTGGAGGGTTAATCTTTAAAACTACAAATCAAAGGGTTTTTGTCGTTGTTGTTAACAGGTAACTGGCAGGAAGTAAGTAACTTTTCTGCTGAGTGTTCATAGGAAAGCAAAGTTTCAAAACAAAACCCGACTAAAATAGAAGAAAGTCTAGCGCTCACGAGAAGGGATGCGAGAAATACAATGCTCAAATGTTTCTGGGTCATTAAAAAACAGAGCTATCTTAACGCATTCGAGCCGTGTTCAATGCTCTTGGAAACTGGAGAAATGATTGTGAACAACAGAATCCGATGTGTGGGGCACCGTGCATGCAATGTGTGGACAGAAATTCGGGAAGTCAGAGGAGCAACACATCTTCAGGCGTGCCTGGAGCTGAGATCTGACTCTGGAATACACTGGAGTTTCCCTGAAACTCTTTGGTCCGTTCCCATTGGCGCCTGGGCTTACGGGAACCCACTTGCGTCCTCTGCAGGGCCCGGCCCGGGCCCCCCACCTCAGGGGTCACCAAGGCAGACGGGCCGCCGTTGCCAGGGCCCCTCAGCTGAGCGAGCAGGAGGCGGCAATGGGACCTGCCTGGGAAAGCAATTTCCTGTCAATCAAAGCAGAAATCGCTTAAAATGTTGAAGCAGGCGAGCAAACGCACACTCAGCATCTGTCTAACATCTTTAGTTTCCAAACTAAAACTAAAAGGTCATATCTCGTTTTTGTTTATTTCTATCCAGTTGTGGAGACATCAAATGAGACGCGTGTCAGTCTCAGAAGTGAAAGCCTGCTTCAGTCTCACCACCGTCCCGAGGGACTGGTCAGGCAACGCGGTCTACTGAGACTTCTGTTTAATATATATTTTAAAGGAAATAACTTAAGAAACTTAAAATTGGTCTAACATTGTGGGATTTCAAACATTTGAACATGTCGGTTGCATCCCAGAGTATAAAAACCTTTTCACTTCTCATTTAGACTAAGACAAACACTTGTGAAAATTGGCGCAAAATGAGTTGTACACTAACAAAAAAGTTTCAACTTCTTTCACTCTTAATTATCTATTCCGTACAAAAAAAGCATGAGCGAGTTATTTGTGGGACTTGTTGGTTTTGAAGGAAACCTGTAAGATTTTGTCCCCCAGGCGGTAGCCGTTCAGACTTGCTATGGCCATTGCGGCCTCTTCATAGTTTGTCATGGTCACAAAGCCAAAGCCTTTGCACTTGTTGGTGTTGAAGTCGCGAATCACTTTCACATTGGTAACCGCACCAAAGGGGCCAAACATCTGCCAGAGGATTCCCTCATCGGCATCTTGACCAAGGTTGTAGATGAAGATGCACCAGCCCGAAGAAGCGTTGCCCGGGACATTGACACCAGAAAGCCCACTCATGTGATCTACACCCATAGGGGAGAACCTAGCAAACAGAGAGCACAGCATTCAGGTCAAGGTCAGCGGGGGCCCAGGTGAGGTCCCTGGGGCCGGCACACCCCCCATCGGTCACAAGCAGGAGTTTTTTTTAACTGAGAGGAATTCACTACGGTGGCGGAGGGAGGGCGTGGACTCCCGGCTCACAGGGAGACATTGGCTGCCTGCAGGTGGTCAGGCCTCCACTCACTTCCCTTGGAGAGATGGCCTGTGGTGGTCTCTGACCAGCTGCTCCCTCCACCCCTCCCTGTGTGTGTGGGGAGGTCCCACTGAGTCACACTTGTACATCCCACATTTTAAGTGATGGAAGCTTCTCCGGGTCCTCCTAGGTGCTGTTACACCCTCAGCTCTCCTCGGAGGAAACTCTTCCCTCATACTCTATGTTGATGTGTAGGGGAAGGGCCGAATTTTTTTCTTTTCTTTCCCTGAATTTTGTACCCAGCCCTTGTCATGACCCTCTCCGAGGGTTCACAGCCCAGCAGTGTCTGGATACAGCACACTCCTGTGAAGGGTACAGGGCACAGGGAGTTCCTTCCCACAGCTCTGGACAGCCTTAATATCCCTGGAGGCTCAGGGCCAAACCAAGGGCTAGGAACGGCAAGTTCATCAAGCTTTACCAAAAACGCAGGGCCCTTTCCAAAGCGACACTTTTAGTTATGTCAAAAATAAGCCTTCTACAAACGGTGGCCATTGCAGTAGGGATGAAGGGGAATGATGAAATGTTATTGAAGCCACGTGGCCCTCTAGGTATTTCACAAATTAAAGAGGAATGGTCACAGGGTCAATTTAAGAATACTTGAGCACGACACAGCACCTCTGAAGCCACATGATATAATGGGAGAAGTATTACCTACTCCAAAATAAAATCTGGCTTTGGGCTGTGGGTGTGATCTGGGGGTAAGTGGGGTGCCTTCAAGTGCCACTGCACAGATTCACTCTCAACAGACATGAGAGAGGAGGGACCAGCCCCAGAAGTGCTACCCACTAAGCCAACGGTTTTTGTCAATGCAGGGACAGAGGAATCAAGACACATTACCAGCCATGATTTTGAATTTGTGAGAATAATTTTAAACAGCCCACACCCGATGACTGAATTGATTGAGTAACTCAGGTGGCCCATTAGTGGTGAGACCACAGGATCACTGAAATGGGGGTGGGAAAAGGCACCCAAGTATCTGTATGAGCTGGTTTTCAGTGAGAACTGGAAAGAGAGTCTGATTTTTAAAAGGACCTCGTTTTCTCCAAGTTTTGTACCATCTGGACCCAAATTATCATGAACCAAATCTTTACGTACATCTTATACTGAGAATAGCCTGAGGTGACCTTTTACTGTCTCTTACTGACACGATTCTCACTCGTATCCATTACTGTGAGTTTTCTCCTGCTGGCTGGAGCTGATTTCTTTCGTCTCCGCCATCATGAAACCCATCCCTTACTCTTTACTCCAATGGTACAAAAGGAGAACTGACCCTTCCTTAATTTGGGGGCTTCTCTCGATGTGATAAGAACTTACTGAAAACTCTCCTCTTCTGGGTCTTTCTTCCTCCTGTCCATATCTTAGTCTGCCTTATGGTGGCGAGTCTTCCCTCCCGCCCCTTCCTTCCTCCCATCGCTGGGGGTCACGCTCCTCTCTTGCCCCTCTGGGCTCCATTTTCTCTTCTCCAACCTTCTTGGTTTCCCAGAGGGGACTGGAGAACTCACTGGACTTGGCCGTCCACACATCCCCCACAATTAGCAGTGATGCCGACTGTGCTACCTGACTTTCAAAACTGAATTTAGCTCACTTCTATCCAAAAATGCTTCCTCTTCCTTTGTCTTTAAACCAGAAAAGCCAGCTGTGGAACATGAGCCAAGCTGAGAAGAACTCTGAATTACTGGACTATGAAAATGAGACCTTGAAAAATGGCATCTGTGGAAATGAGAAGGGTTTTACCCAAGCTCACTGCTTTAAAAAAGATGGGAAATCTGAAAATCACAGAGAAAAGTCCTTAACGCACCCGAGATGAGCCCTCATGACACTTCTTGAGGTTCTGACAGAAACAAAACAGAATGGCTCCTAAACTGGGATCTCAGCTATCCATGAGGTGAGAACACACCTGAGTTTAGAGCTCAAGTTACTGGCTCTAATCACCTCTGTTCTACGAGATCCTGGCTACTAGAATCAATTTCAGTATGGAAAGACTAAGGGAGGCGAGGAAATGGTTCACCTCTAGGACAGGGCTTTTAAACCGAAGGCATGTAATATGATAGTCAGACACCAAATGACCCATGGGGTAGATGAAGAAGAAAGGTTTGCCTTGGGGCTGCTGATCAAAAGTCTAAAACCTGTGGAAGACTCAGGAAGAACGGCTCTCGCGTTAAGCACACCTAAGGCTGCATCTTTCCTCTCCCAGACATTGGAGGATCTTTTCAACTCACGGGTCCACCCACCTGTCACTAGAAACTGCACGCTGGAGCGCTGCACACTCACTCTGCCAGGAGCTGGTTGGATCTGCACCATCTTTTTAAATTCCAATTAAAGACAAAGGGGTTTGGGAAGCAACAGCCTTCATACAGATACATTTTTGATGGAGGTAGGGGGCATGGAGACATGAAATGCAACTTTCTGATGTGAGCAGCCCTGTGTGCCCAGCAGTTTCCATTGCACGTGGTCACCCAGCCAGCAGGGCCACGCACAACTGGAAGGGGCACCTTGAGCCGTGGTGGGAAGAGGCTGCGTAGGTGAGAGCACTGCCCTCTTGACCCACCTGAATCTCTGTGCCTGGTGGTGCACGGGGCCTCCGAACCGTCTAGCCGGTGAGTGGTACAGCTGGGAGAGCAGCGCCACGTTTTTGTTCTGGTTGGGATTGGCTGCGAACTTCACTGTAATGGGCTCGGAGGAACCTGGGGGTTTATGACCATTGAAACTGGTAATTGCCTCTTCTGCTTCCGACCGTTTGTCAAACCGGATAAACGCAACCCCTCTGGACAAACCTTTTTAACAAACCAACAAAAATGGAGTTAGGGGGAAAACAATGTAAGGATTTTTAAAACTGAAAAGCAAAAGTCAAGTCAGTCAGTCAACTGTGGTTCAAACCGGATGCTTGGTTAATGAGATAAACAAAAATTAAACCTAAATAATGGAAACATGAACAAATTAAAAAAAACAAACAATGACTAATAAAAGCTTAAGGTTTCAGACTTTCTTCTGAGTTGAAGCAACAACTCCACAGTTTAGTGCCAAAGATATTTTGGTGACGGACGTTCCAGACACCCCAAACCTCCTTCTTAAAGGAAGCTATGTTACAGGAGATTAAACGCCACCACTACTCTGACACCAGGGGCCACCACAGTGTGGTGCACAGTGTGCTGAGGAGTGGGCGGGCAATGCGGAATTCTCTCTGGGCCAGGAGACACTCCCTCCCACGGCCAGCCCGGCCATCGGCCTCGCACCCCAGCCAGGCCTTCCCAGCCTGATCGCACGCCTGCTTGCTTGGTGCCCAGCTCAGCCTCCTTCATCCAGGAAGGGCGTGGAGTCCTAGTAAGCAGGCCTCACCCTGAAGGCTCTGGCTGGCCACCACCAACTCACTGACCTGTTGGATATTCCACTGTGAGGTCCTGGGCCCTCCTGTGGACCCCAAATTGCCCTCAGAATCTACTAAGGTCACTGGCTCTTTTCCCAGAAGACTCCCCAGGCACACACAACAGAGTTGACACCCACCCACAGACTCCCCAGCAGCATAAGGGTCCCCGCCTGGGGCCCACTTCGTACCTGCAACAGGAAGGGCCAGGGCTCCCCATCACGGCCACCAGCTGCCTCAGGAGAGCACCTTTTCTTACTGCTTGGACTGAGCCACCTGAAGGCAAGCCCTGGATCTTGCTGTAACCCCATCCCTTGACAGAGCTAGAATATGCCCAGGACCAAGCTGCCTGAGTCCAAGGCCCAGTGCTGAAAGCAGGGTTGGGTCAGCCTGGCACGAGTGTGAGACCTGAGCAAAACAGGTGGGAGGGGGCTCAGTCACCCTCTGCCCTCGGCCCCTGATCTGTCCACATTCTGAGCCTAGGAGGAATGATGGGGGCCTTCGTCCCTTGAAAAAGTCGAGGAATGGGGTGGGGTGGGGGTGAGGTAACACCTAGGGAGAAGAAATAGGGGTCAAGTGTGAAGATCGAGGTGTAGCAGAGAGGTGACAGCTGACGGCCAGTGTTGGGGTGATGTGACTGGGCTGGAGGCCCGGTCAGGGAGGCTGCAGCAGATGGCCCGACCCTGGACACTCTTCCTCCACTGCCAGTCACAGGCTGTCCTAAATCGCACTTTCTTCTCTAGATAAAGGCTTTTAGCACATGGTGAATGACAGTCATCAGAGCAGAACATCCAGGGCCTTGGGCCACTAGCAGTGTGAGCAGGAGGAACATCCCCCAGTCAGCTCCCAGGCCCCAACACCTTGCTTCGCCATTTCCCACAGGTCCCACCAACCGTCCCCAGGGTGGGCACAGGGCTGGGGTCCCCCAGCTGGTCCCCAAGCCTCAGAGGGACATGGAGAGACGTGGGCACACTGAGTGGGTGCAGAGATAAGTGTCACTGCAAGGCACGGTCCCCCTCTGGGCCTAGAATCCCACACTCTGTCCTGACTTGGACGCAACACTATGGACCCCATTTGAACAGGCAGACAGCAGGCAGGGGCCCCTGGGCCAGGGCTTCTTCCTTTACAACTGTGATATACTGTGGACACCCCAGCTGAGTCCTAAAGGCACAACCCCCAGCTCTCCAAGTGGGAAACGCCCCCAGCACAGCACCCTGGGAGGCCCCACAGTGGCTTCTAGTGGCCTCAAGGCTGCCCCCACACTGGCTCCATGACTGTTTAAACATGAACTTTAAATTGACACAGCCAGAGACACACTTAATTAGTGAGATTACACCCAGCAATTCACATGTGTGCCAGGAAAATTCTAGAGCCGAGCTCATTTTAAAATTTCAGTTCAGAAGGGACACCTGAAAACACGAACTCAGCATACACAGTTTTTATTTACTCTTAAACGGCATGAACGATGGCTTAGACAGACGAGAACCTGAATGAAATCTAACTGCAGGCGGGTATCTGGGAGCTGCCTGCAGGACACAGTTCTACTCTATAAAGACCTTGTGATCAAGCAGAAAGAGAGAGTGTGTGCAAACGTGGTTTCCCTGTTTGGTTCTATAAAATGACCATCAAAGGAAAATTGCCCGAGTGAAACGGAGAAAACCTGAATAAGAGAAAGAGTGTTATTTACAGAGAGGGGATATAAGCTCACTCAATGATTTGATGAACGTATACTTTTTGAAGATGGCTCTGTGGGGATTTTTCCCTTTAGTGTTTTTAGAATTAAGAGCAGAGACCAATAAATGGCACAATCTCCAGATGAAAAAACCATGAAGTTCACAATTAAAATGTATAAAGAAACAAAGAAATTAAAAAAATAAAAGTTTGGCCAGCTCAGAAGGTTAAGGTTTTTTACGTGCTTCCCCACTTCTCTAACCCTAGAAAGCAGGGCATATGAAGGCAAGCCTGACACGCAAACTTGCTTGCCACGCCACTCTCTGCCCCGGCCGCCCAGGTTCCATGGGGTCCCAGCAACGAGCACCCTCTGCCCCAGCAGAGGAGCCCTGGGCAGGTGGTCCTCTGGAGCAGAGGGAGGGAAGGGAGGCTCACAGTCCCAGGGGCTCACCATCCTACTCCAGTTCCTGGGCTAGGGGAGGGCTGTGAAGAGGGGGGAACCCCTGGGACCCCCTCATAGCTTCTCCTTTTGTCCTCTTGCAAAGATCCTAAAGACAGAGAGACATGGGAGGCGGTGGGGCGGCAGTCCCTTCGCTGAAGTGGCAGACACTGGCGGGGAGGCCTGAGGGCACAACTCTGAGTTCAAGGCCAAGACCAAGAGGAAACCCTGAAGTGCCTCCAAACTCTAGGAGACACCAGCCTTGCAGAGGGAAAGGGGGCAAAATCCCCAGCAAATGGGCTGTCCGTTAGGAAGCTGTCCGGAGTGACCTCCTCGGCATGGTGGGGATGAAAGCCTGGGGTGTGGTCTCGAGCTGGGTGGCCTCCAACGAGAAAGAGTCGGGCCCTGCTCAGCAGTGCTGGGCTGGACAGATGAGCAGAGGCACGGCTATCTGCATGGGATCAGGAAAAGCAGGGCTGAGGATACGGAACGTGGGCCCTGCTCTGGGTCCCGGGCAGCGCCCCTAGACCCTCCTATGCCGGTGGGGCTGGGAAGAAATACACATGCTGACCAGCCAACTGCATGACTCTCTCAACAAACACTCGAAGGTAAGTAAAGGGGACTTCAGGGGCCACAGGAAGGTCTTCTGGAGTGGAGAGGGGGTTATATCAAGTATACAGCATCTGGGCCTCACACCCACCCCCTGCCCCAGAGCCAAGGGGCAGAATGAAGGAGTCCATGTCCCCTCAGCACAGCCTGCTGTTGGAGTGGGCATCTGCACCAGGCTTGGGGGTACCCAGAGCTGCCATCAAAGGCCAGCAACTCGCACTGGGGGACCAGGCTCCTCCTCAGGCCCCTGGGGGATTTGGGCTGTCCACTCCTCTCCAGGTTGGGCCCCTGTTCAGGACTGTAACCTGGCCGGCAGGCGGGGCCTGCACACCCCAAGCTGAGCTTCCACAGCTGGGGCGGGAGAGGGGAGAGCGAGTGACAAGACCGCTGGCCCCAAAGCACATAGCTCAGGGTAGGGTGCAGGAAAATGCAGGGTTATGCGTGCACCTCCACCCCACCCGTCACGGGCCGGGAAGGTCCTGCCCGCCTGCTCTGTGTCTGCTCTGCAGCCTCCGGGAGCCGCTGGTCTCTCAGAAGGGAGGTCACCTCAGAGCTATGACTGCCTGAGGCCCACCTGCCAGTGTTTCTTTTAGTACCTCAGCCAAGTGGGTGGTGAACACGCTCTGTGCCAAAGAACATTAAAGTCAACTGCAGACAATTCCGTTGGCTCCACTGAGCTCCAGGAGCAGCAGCCTTCCTTTCTAGTCTGTCAGCACATCCCTACTCCCGCTGAGAGCAGAGCTGAGCAGCCCACAAGCAGGGCGGTCCCAGCTCACTGCTCCCCGCACGGAGCCAGGCCCTACACCAGCAGGGCAGGTGGATGAACGGCGACAGTGGAGCCCAGCCACTGCTCACCCGCTGGGGTTGCTCTCAGGAAGGTGGGTGTGGGGCTCAGCTCAGCGGTGCCGGACTGCTTCACGTAAAGCCCAGAGCCCAAGCTGCCATGTCCTGAACTGAGATGACCCCAGAGGGCCTGGCAAAGGGGCCGGGATGGCCAGCGAGAGGAATTTGCTGCCCTGGAGCCCTCTGGGCTGTGAATGTGCTGCCCCAGGGGGGCAGCTGAGTCATGAAGACCAAGGAACGGCTCCTCAGAAACAGCCACCCTTGGAGCTCTGGGGCAGTGAAAGATGGGGACTCTGGACCTGGAGTAAAGACTGTCTTACCCCGCATACCACTGCTGGCAGTAAGAACGGCCACTCGGTAGACCCAGCCGGGCCACGTGGCTACCTGCGAGAAGGGCCAGAATCTCTCAGTGTTTTCACCATAAAAGGTTGGCCTCACATTCTCTGTCAAGAGCTGCTTTTATGTCATTTTACCTGCCCAGCCGCATAAAACAAAAGCCAGCATCCTCAGACTGATTCTGTCCTCACTGGAGGAATCACTCACAGCATTTACCATCAAACAGTGACCTGTCTTCCCTGGGAGCCCCGGCCCCTGGCCCGGAGGACAGCCTCCTGGCGTCCGGGGCTGCCCGCCGTACCTGTGGTCTGATCCACGAGGACCCGGGAGTTGATGATGCGCCCGAACCGAGAGAACATGTCCTCCACGTCCTTCTGGGTCATGGTCCTCGGGAGCCCGCTGATGTACAAGTTGGCGTCTTTGATGACCTCTGAGCTCGGGCGGGCATACGACACCTTGAAAACAAAACCGCTGGCTGGGGTTAGGGCAGGTGTGTGGCCAAAGCATCGAGGGAGGGTGTTACGTTTTCAAGTGAGAAGCCAACCCTCTGGTAGGAGGTCACGTGAGCACTCATCACTGGCGGCAGCCCGTGCTGGCAGCTCCCCTCGGGCACCCTGATGAGGCAGACGTTACTCCTGTTTCATAAAGTCGAGAGACTCAGGGCCCAAAGCTGGTCGGCAGCAGGGCAGACCCAATCCGGGCTGCTTGTTCCACCCCCTCAACGGCCTCAGGCCTCTCTGGACAACGAGCAGGGCTGAGAACACCACCTGGTCCTTTCTGTGAGGAGCCCAGGGCAAGGCAGTGAGAGCTGGGTTTTGCTGGGAGTGTGACACCCGACTGCCAGCAGGCAAGCTTGCCAGCAGGGAGCTCAGACAGGGCTCGAGGCCTGGGGGAGCCCACACGAGCCCACACGTGTTTTTTGGCTTTATGCTTTGCAAAACTGAAGGAAAGCTAAAAGGAACTTCTGCAGTGGCTTAGGGAGAACAGTGTGTGTGTTGGGGCCAATGGCAAGGAAAGATCTTTGGTGCTTTCCCAGGTTGGGGTGACAGCTGTGTGGATCCTGCAGGCCCAGAAGCGATGGGGCCAAGGCCAGGCCCCTGCTAGGAGGGAGCAGCTGGGACAAAGCCCTTCTGCCCACAAAGGGGCAGCCTGGGGGACAGAACTCAATCACACCCAAGGCAGTCAGAGCCGAGTCAGGAGGCTGCAGAGGAGGAGGAGGCAGAGAACCGTGTGCTCTGGAAGGGTGGGGCTCAGACCTGTGCAGAATGTTCTCTCAGGGTCACAAAACCAATGCAGCAAGGAGCCTGAGACCACAACACAGGAGCGAACATGACCTCTCAGATGCCACTGGGAGGCACAAGGGCACAGACAACAGGAGTGTCCTCACAGCGCTCAGGCCTCCAGGAAGGGCAGGTATAGTTCTACACACCCAGAACACACACACATACACACACACACACACACACACATGCACGCCCCTTCATGCATGTGCTTGCGGACTCCCAAACATTGGATGAGCACCTATGACATTCCAGAAAAAGAGACGACAGACATCGCCTTTGCCTGTGAAGCAGACAGCAATGCCATGGAAAGATGGCAAATGACAGGAGAAACTGGTGGTGTAGTCACAGCCCAGCTCCACCTGAAGAGGAGGCGGGGACCACGGAGGTGAGCTCAAAGGTGAGTGGAACAGAAAGTGATGCTGATCAGGAGGACACGCCAGGGCACTGGGTCCTGTCAGGAGCTAGTGGCCTCCAAAAGGCAGTACAGTACAAGCTGACAGTCCCTGGAAGTTTCCCTGAGGTGCATCCAAGCCTGAGGCACCTTGGTGAGGCCTGTGGTGCAGGCACTTTGGGGCCACTTAATGATGTATTCGAGGCCTGGGCCAGATGCAGCACTGTCCCCAGAGAAAGAGGCCACCATGGCCCACAGGGCTTCTGTGACCAGGGTGGCCTGGCCATGATCCTGGCTTCCAGAGGAGGTCAGCTTTCCCAGTGCCACCTGGACCCACACTGACCAGACCCACAGAACACCCTCCTCAAACTGCTGCCAGAGGCTGTCTCTCCAACTGTTTGTCAGGCATCATATTTAAGGCAGCATGGCTGAGGCTGTTCTGTGCTTTCTCCGGACCATTCTGTCTGGCCACTGGCAGATTTGTTGGGAATGGGTTGCGTTTGGGGTCTGCCCTCAGCTTTTGGTGAAGGACACTGTGGAAAAAAAATTCCCAAACCAGTGCCGGGGAAGCAGCGGGAAGGCACTGAAGTCTTCAAGACTGTCCCTTGATAAAGAGGAAATGCTTTCAGAGCCAAATACACTTCAATTCCTTTCAACACAGGTGTCTTCAAGGACCTCGAGACCAACTAGAGCTTTCCTTTTCTCTTTAGCCATTGTCAAGTTCAGAGTCAAGTCGGAATTGAAGACCTCCCTGGGGAACCCCGCATGCAACAGGTGTGCAACAAGGCAGCGGGCGTGCCTTGGAGTCCAGCTCCAAGACCTCATTTGGAAATAGGATGCAGTTAGGGAAAATGAGGCCGAAGCACAGAAAGATGGCCCCAAATCAATGACTCATGTCCTTGTAAAAAGGGGAAATGTGGACACAGACACGCCCTCAGGGAGAACCCCGTGTGAAGACGAAAGCAGACTTGGGTGATGTTCCCGCAGGCCGACGACCACTAAAGGTTCAGTGACCCCCAGCTCGGGGAGGCCTGGACGGCCACAGCCCTCGGGAGGTGCTCCACCTGCCAAGCCCGGACCTTGGGCTTCCGGCCCATGAGGGTCTCGCAGACACAAAGGCTCAAGAGGACAAGCTCATTCCAAGTCGCTTCAGGTCGAGGGAGACTGGCCACACCGGCGGGCGCGGGGCAGTAGACACAGCTCTGGGGGGCGGCTGCAGGAAGGTGGGTCAGGGTCTGGCCTGGGGTGGGGAAGGAGGCGTGTCCTACAGGAGGGCTTGGAAAGGAGCCAAGGTCTGGAAAACCCAAGGCAGGCCCAGGGTAGGTGGAGCCTGAAGATACACGTGGTAGCAAGGAGGTGGGGCTGCAGGCTGGGGAAGGAGGGAGAGGTCAGCGGTGGCAGGCTGAGAAGTGAGGGGAGGTTGGGGAAGCTGTCCTGAGACCTGGAGGACACACCAACTCATCCCAGAGGCTACCACAGACACCAAGGACACTGGTGCCGATCTGCCTAAGGCTCTCCCAGGTCGCGTGCATGGCTCCCTCACTCCTGCAAGTCAACATGAAGCCTCTTCGCAGAACACACTGGTGCCACCATGTGACTCCGTGACACTTACCTCTGCAACATGTGGCTTTCATATTTTTTACTGTATGTGCGCACGTGCACACACACACACACACCCCAGCTCCACAGGGGCACAGGCTTTGTTTTGCTCACTGCTTGGCACATAGTATGCACTCAGACATTTGCCAAATGCATGTTGAACAAACTGGTGAGAGAAGGACTGCAGCTGGCTGTGACAAGGCAGTGAGGCAGGAGGGACAATGGAGCCCCTCAGCCAGCAGAAGCAGGCGGGGAGGCCTGCGGAGGGGGCCGCCCCTGTGTAAGCATCCTCTATCAGGACCCTGCTTTCACTGGTGGGGCTGAGGAGGCCAAGAGCCACAGGTATAAGGCCTGGGATGGCACCACCCAACACACCTCTGACACGCAATGCCTCAATCCTGAGCAGACAGGAGGTCCCCTGATGCCCTAAAAGCACCAGGCCTCTGAGGAGCAACTGTGCTAATGGTGTCGTGACGCTGATGGTAAGGGAAGGGGGTCCCTCACCCAGGCCAGGGCTCGGCACAGCCAGGAGCGAGTGAGATGGTGATCGCAGCTCTTTACCTTTATGGTTTTTGACTGGAGCCGCAGGCCGTTCAGCGTGTTTATTGCTCTCTCTGCATCCTTGGCAGTCACATAGTTCACAAAGCCGTAGCCCAAGCTGTGCCCTGTGTGGGAAAACATGGGGACATCATTAAACCACTGAGAGCAAGTGAGCGAGACAGGGATGATGGACAGGACTATGTCTGACTGCGCTCACAAGTACAAGACCAAAGAGAAGAAGACCAAGAAAACACACAAGGATGCTAACAGGCATGGTCTCTGGCAAGGGGTATTAGAGATCGTGGTTATAGTCTGTATTGATGGCTTATTTGTTACACTTCCTTGGCAAATGCGCACATTTTCTGCAAAGAACATTACATTTATAATTTTTTTTAAAAAGGTTACTTAAAAAGAAATACTGTGTTACTAAGAGTATCCTGGGGAACCCACCACCAAAGCAACAAGGAGGATGGGTTCTACTGGTGGCGGCCGCTCTGGGGGTGCTCCGAGGGGGACTGTGTGAGGGAGAAGGAGGAGGACGGTCACAACAGTGGACAGGCGGGTGGGGAGAACCCGAAGACCACCCGCTGTCAGCATCCAGGCTGGTTTCCGCCACTTCCATCCCCAGAGTGGGAAGGCCTGCTGGGCTCTGGCGCCACCCGGTGTCGGTTCCCCTTACTTTTCTGAGCTGCAACCCAGCTGGGGGAAGAGGACAGGGAGAGGCCTGGGCCCCACCTTCACAGCACCACACGTCCAGAGCCAGCTCCCAGGGTGCCAGCATCATCAGCTGAAGCCTGGGAGAGTGTAGGATGCAGAAACCTGAGTTCTTCCCAACAAAATCCAGGGTTACAGGCAGGGTGGCCCTACTCCTTCTTGGGGAACTGCTCAGAAGTGCAGGAGTGACCACTAAATGGACACTACAGGAGGAACATGGCCCAAAAGGGGAGGGGCTGTGGGTCTCCAGGAAGCCCAGAGAGAAGCAATGGCCAAGGGTCAGAGTCGGAAGAAGCCTTGGGCTTTCACTACAGAGCAGGAGGAGGAGGAGGCCCAGAGAAGACAACAGCCACCAAGCCCACGTTACCTGTCCACGTGCCACGTTAACGGGCACCCACCACATACCAACCACTGCTCTGGGGAGAGACAGAGGGGTGGGATAAAGGCCTGCCTCCCAGCTCGGCTCAGTCCCTCCAGTTGGTGGTAAAAACATGAGAAGGCCTCGAGCCACAGGCAGGCAGAGATCCTTATGGCAGCTGAGCTGGCTCAGACCCTGCACCCATGAACCCAGACCCATCTTGCCACTAACGAGACCCAGTGGAGAGCTTAACCCAGTTTTGCCACTTGTAAATAAACAAACAAACAAACATACTTCATTTTTTTAATTTAAAGAAAAAATATAGAGATAATACAGAGTTTCCATATATTCTACACCGTTTCCCCTATTAGTAACCTTACCCTAGGATGGTACACTTGTTACAGTTAATGAATCAGTACTGATTTATTAACTACAGTCCACAGCTGATTCTGACTGCCTCAGTTTTCCCTGATGTCCTTTTTTGTCTCAGATGCCATCCAGGACCCCACACGACATTTAGTTGTGAAGTCTCCTTAGGCTCTTCAGGGCTGCGACAGTTTCTCAGACTTTCTCCTTTTCTGATGACCTTGAGTTTTGAGAACTCATCAGGAATTTTGTAGAATCTCCCCTAATCTGGGTTTGACAGATCTTCTTCTCTGGTCAGGCAGGGGTTATAAGGAGTTTTGAGGAGGAGGACAACAGAGTGAAGTGCCTTCTGACACTGTTTCGGGGTGCATGTTGTCAACATGACTCATCACCGCTGAAGTTGGCCTTGGTCCCCTGGCCAAGGCAATCGGTTTGCCAGGGTTCTCCTCCCCCACGGTCACTGCAGCCCTTGGAAGGAAGTCACTCTGCACAGCCCATGTGTAATGAGTGCCTTGTGGAGGTGCATGCTCCCTCCTTCAGGGCAGAGTAGCTACATAAATTATCAGCAATTCTGCACAGGCCATTTTCATTTTTAAAGAAACAAAAACAAAACCTGATCCTCCAGGCCCATATTTCTAATAAAATGCCATGGGTCTCAGAGACCCGCTTCCTGAGCCTTGGACAGTGAGGATGTTGGGAGCAGCAGGGTGGTGGGGGTAGGGCCCATACAGCGGGAGAATCAGACCTGCAGCTCAGAAAATGACACTGGACTCCAGGCCGACAACTTCAGGGACCTTGCAGATGGTCCAGACTATAAAAGTCAAGTCGGAGAGCGCAGAATGTCTATGTCCCACCGAACTCCAGCCCTGCTGGGACTTTCGCTCCCCAGCACCAGCCCTCCAATCACCCTCCACCTCTCACTGTGCCCAGGCCACGGAGACTGCCCTGTCAGCCCAGATCCTCTGCGCCTCTCTCTCATCTTTTGTGTTCCTGCTCCTCCCACAAGGCCAGTCCCAACCCTGGGCCACCTGTCTCCTCTGCTACCGGGCTTCAGGTGCCCCAGGCCATGTTTCTGTGTCTTCTGCTGCAGCTGGCTCCTCTCGGCACACAAACACAGGCCCAGCCCCACCTCAGTTCCTGATTCCCTACTCCCCTCCCCTTCAGGCCTTACCAAGGCCATTCAACGTGCCACCCCAGTCCCACAGAGTTTCAGGACACAGCTCCCAGAGCCCTCAGCAGCACTGGGCGCTAATGACCAGCTTGTGGCACCACCTCCTCCAGGATGTGACACCACCACCAGGTTTCCCTTCTCCCCAACTGGCCCTCTCTGGGCTCCTCATCCTGGGCCCATTCCATCGAGATGGTCCCTCAGGCTCTACCTTTGGCCCTTGTCTCTGTCATCTACTCTTCCTGGGTGACCTCCTTGACCACTGTGTGCCCACATCTGGAACGTCACCTAAGAAGTTACACATCCTCAGATGGCCACTGCCTTCTTCCCAAGCCCTGCTCCTCCTCCAGTTTTCCTCAACGAGCCCACATATACCAACTGAGTACCTATGACGTGTCAGGCCCCGTGCCAGGCTGGCCAGCGGGTTTAATGATAATCACAGAGGACAGCTCACTCCTTAACAAAACGCACCTCCCACTGGGCAAGTCTGACAACAAACCAGCAAAAAACCAACGAACAAAGCCATCATGCAGGTGCTCCGAGGAGAACCTCCAGGCGGTGCGAGAGGGACTGCCAGGACAGGTCCATGGGGACAGGGCTCTCAGGAGCGCCCTCTGAGGAGGTAATATTAGAAGCAAGACTTCAGGGCGGCTGGAGGTGAGCATTCCAGACAGTACAGCAAGCGCCAAGTCTCTGAGGTGTTCCAGGAAATGAAAGGCAGCCAGCACGGCTGAATAGAACAAGCTGGAGGCACGGCCCAGACGGCGGGGTGGACAGCGGCTGCGGCGGGGCCAAGACCAGTGCAGAGACCTTGGGGAGCCCATGAGCCAGACCAGGTGTGAGACGAGGGCCACGCGTCAGGGCAGGGGCAGCAGAAAGAGGACCCACCAAGCGGACCTGCAGGTGGGCTGATGCGGGAGGGAGCACCAGGGGGCCACGGTCCCTAAAGTGCCAGGGAGCAGCTCCCTGCCAGCACTCCCAGACAGGGACTGGCTCTGTCCCCCAGGCTATTCCACCCTCTGTGGTGGGCACCTGCATACAGAGGGAGGGAAGTCAGGAGAGGAATGAAGGGGAGCCCCAGGTCTTCACTCACTGAATGAGGACGGAGACTAAAGTGCTTAACACAATGCTGAGGGCCCACCTCCACCCTTTCCTTCGCTATAAACCAATGACTCTCAACTCTGGCCGCTTGTTAGAATCACCAGGGCAGCTGCTAAAAACTATCACTGGTGAGGCCACATCCTGGACCAATGACATCAGAATGGGGGTGGGAAGGCAGGAGTGGGGACAGCTTGTAAAGCCGCCTACTGAAGCACTGCTGGAAGTGCCTGGGGGAGTGGGGCTCCCCGTGGTTACACAGAAGAGCCCCAACCTGGAGGTCTGTGCTTGGAGCAGGTGCCTCCAGAAGGCCCTCACTTCCCAAGTTACTGTCTCTCTAACAGGGTTCACAAGCCACTCAGGGTAATCATGCAGCTTCCTGGGGCTCTCCTCAGTCCAAGACCCAGGATGTTGGGCAGGCGTGGGAACCTGCACTTCCAAGTTCCCTACAGATGATTCTCTTGCCCCTTAGAGGCAGCGAGCCTGCTGGAGTCAATGCCATGAAGGCAGGTCAGCTGCTGCCCCCGCCCCTTCAGCCCTGAACACGGGAGCTCTGAGGTCTGATGGGGGAGCAGGGGTGCTGGGGGGCAAGCACAGGCAGGGCATGGATCCTGCACAGGCTGCTGGGGCCTGAGGAGGGCGAGGCCTGCCAGTCAGGGGTGGGGGCAACCAGAGCCCGGGACTGGAGGTGTGGTGGAGAGGGGAGGGAGGGAGATGAGGAAAAGGAGGCTGAGGGAGAAGGGACAGGGATGAAGGATGAATAAGCCCCAGGCCTGAGATCTAGGGATGTCCCAGGCCAGAGCCCCTCACTGCAGGAAGGGCGGTGCTACTCAGCTCTGGGTCTAACTTGCCCAGGCACCAGCACTGTCCCCTCTCCAGGGAGGTTCCAACACCCCAGACTGGCTGATTCAGTGGGGCCGGGTGGGGCCTGAGACCTGCGTTTCTCCCAGTCCCCTGGTGCTGCTGCTGGCCAGGGAGCCGCCAGCCCGGGGAAACGAGGCTGTCTCTGCAGCGAGTGCTCTGTATGCCCCGCTGGATGACCCCTGGGCCAGTGCTCCTGCATTCATTCCCAAATGTCTCTCTCTCTCTCTCTTTAGATGGGGTCAAGACTAACAGATAACTCCACGGCATTCTGCCTTGCTTTCCCACACTAGAGCAGCCAGATGTAAGGCTTTAATCCCTTAGTGTTCTTCACCTGACCTGGGATGCACAGCTGAAGAGGGTGGCCCCGGCCTGTGGACGAGGCCCTCCTCTACACCGTGAGGGGTTGGCACACTCGAGCGCCTTCTCTCAAGGTCCACAAGGCTCAAGGGAAGATGTTACCGGAGGAGAGACTGGATCTTGGGGGAATGAGTGAATTAATTAGGCAATAAGGAAGAAACAGCAAACGTCTCCAAAGGAAAGAAGATGGGCAAAGGATA